TGAAGAAAGCAATACGGTGAGAATAGAATGCACACAATGCAGAAGACAGGAAAACACTGAGGCATTCTCATCAAAGGAGAAGAAACTGTGTCAGGAGCCAATAACTGTGGGGGAATCAAACAAAAATGTGAACGCAGGAGGTAAGCCAAGATTTGGAGTTGCCAAGTAAGGGGGTTATTACTATCATCAAAGGAACAACCTCAAATATGGGGAAAACATAAAACAGTCTATGCCAAGACCAGAAATCGAAAGTATTATAGAAATCGAAAATATGTTTTGTGCTCTATTCTGAAGAGAGCAATACGGTGAAAATAGAATGCACACAATGCAGAAGACAGGAAAACACTGAGGCATTCTCATCACAGGAGAAGAAACTGTGTCAGGAGCCAATAACTGTGGGGGAATCAAACAGAAATGTGAACGCAGGAGGTAAGCCAAGATTGGGAGTTGCCAAGTAAGGGGGTTATTACTATCATCAAAAAAACAAATTCAAATGTGGGGAAAATATAAAACAGTCTATGCCAAGACCAACAACGAAAGTATTAGAGAAATCGAAAAATTGTTTTGTGCTCTATTCTGAAGAAAGCAATACGGTGAGAATAGAATGCACACAATGCAGAAGACAGGAAAACACTGAGGCATTCTCATCAAAGGAGAAGAAACTGTGTCAGGAGCCAATAACTGTGGGGGAATCAAAGAGAAATGTGAACGCAGGAGGTAAGTCAAGATTTGGAGTTGCCAAGTAAGGGGGTTATTACTATCATCAAATGAACAACCTCAAATATGGGGAAAACATAAAACAGTCTATGCCAAGACCAGAAATCGAAAGTATTAGAGAAATCGAAAATATGTTTTGTGCTCTATTCTGAAGAGAGCAATACGGTGAGAATAGAATGCACACAATGCAGAAGACAGGAAAACACTGAGGCATTCTCATCAAAGGAGAAGAAACTGTGTCAGGAGCCAATAACTGTGGGGGAATCAAACAGAAATGTGAACGCAGGAGGTAAGCCAAGATTGGGAGTTGCCAAGTAAGGGGGTTATTACTATCATCAAAGGAACAACCTCAAATATGGGGAAAACATAAAACAGTCTATGCCAAGACCAGAAATCGAAAGTATTAGAGAAATCGAAAATATGTTTTGTGCTCTATTCTGAAGAGAGCAATACGGTGAGAATAGAATGCACACAATGCAGAAGACAGGAAAACACTGAGGCATTCTCATCAAAGGAGAAGAAACTGTGTCAGGAGCCAATAACTGTGGGGGAATCAAACAGAAATGTGAACGCAGGAGGTAAGCCAAGATTTGGAGTTGCCAAGTAAGGGGGTTATTACTATCATCAAAGGAACAACCTCAAATGTGGGGAAAACATAAAACAGTCTATGCCAAGACCAATAATCGAAAGTATTAGAGAAATCGAAAAATTGTTTTGTGCTCTACTCCGAAGAGAGCAGTACGGTGAGAATGGAATGCTCACAATGCAGAAGACAGGAAAACACTGTGGCATTCTCATCAAAGGAGAAGAAACTGTGTCAGGAGCCGATAACAGTAGAGACTCAAACAGAAATGTGAACGCAGGAGGTAAGCCAAGATTTGGAGTTGCCAAGTAAGGGGTTATTACTATCATCAAAGGAACAACCTCAAATATGGGGAAAACATAAAACAGTCTATGCCAAGACCAGAAATCGAAAGTATTAGAGAAATCGAAAATATGTTTTGTGCTCTATTCTGAAGAGAGCAATACGGTGAGAATAGAATGCACACAATGCAGAAGACAGGAAAACACTGAGGCATTCTCATCAAAGGAGAAGAAACTGTGTCAGGAGCCAATAACTGTGGGGGAATCAAAGAGAAATGTGAACGCAGGAGGTAAGTCAAGATTTGGAGTTGCCAAGTAAGGGGGTTATTACTATCATCAAATGAACAACCTCAAATATGGGGAAAACATAAAACAGTCTATGCCAAGACCAGAAATCGAAAGTATTAGAGAAATCGAAAATATGTTTTGTGCTCTATTCTGAAGAGAGCAATACGGTGAGAATAGAATGCACACAATGCAGAAGACAGGAAAACACTGAGGCATTCTCATCAAAGGAGAAGAAACTGTGTCAGGAGCCAATAACTGTGGGGGAATCAAACAGAAATGTGAACGCAGGAGGTAAGCCAAGATTGGGAGTTGCCAAGTAAGGGGGTTATTACTATCATCAAAGGAACAACCTCAAATATGGGGAAAACATAAAACAGTCTATGCCAAGACCAGAAATCGAAAGTATTAGAGAAATCGAAAATATGTTTTGTGCTCTATTCTGAAGAGAGCAATACGGTGAGAATAGAATGCACACAATGCAGAAGACAGGAAAACACTGAGGCATTCTCATCAAAGGAGAAGAAACTGTGTCAGGAGCCAATAACTGTGGGGGAATCAAACAGAAATGTGAACGCGGAGGTAAGCCAAGATTTGGAGTTGCCAAGTAAGGGGGTTATTACTATCATCAAAGGAACAACCTCAAATGTGGGGAAAACATAAAACAGTCTATGCCAAGACCAATAATCGAAAGTATTAGAGAAATCGAAAAATTGTTTTGTGCTCTACTCCGAAGAGAGCAGTACGGTGAGAATGGAATGCTCACAATGCAGAAGACAGGAAAACACTGTGGCATTCTCATCAAAGGAGAAGAAACTGTGTCAGGAGCCGATAACAGTAGAGACTCAAACAGAAATGTGAACGCAGGAGGTAAGCCAAGATTTGGAGTTGCCAAGTAAGGGGTTATTACTATCATCAAAGGAACAACCTCAAATATGGGGAAAACATAAAACAGTCTACGCCAAGACCAGAAATCGAAAGTATTAGAGAAATCGAAAATATGTTTTGTGCTCTATTCTGAAGAGAGCAATACGGTGAGAATAGAATGCACACAATGCAGAAGACAGGAAAACACTGAGGCATTCTCATCAAAGGAGAAGAAACTGTGTCAGGAGCCAATAACTGTGGGGGAATCAAACAGAAATGTGAACGCAGGAGGTAAGCCAAGATTTGGAGTTACCAAGTAAGGGGGTTATTACTATCATCAAAGGAACAACCTCAAATATGGGGAAATCATAAAACAGTCTATGCCAAGACCAGAAATCGAAAGTATTAGAGAAATCGAAAATATGTTTTGTGCTCTATTCTGAAGAGAGCAATACGGTGAAAATAGAATGCACACAATGCAGAAGACAGGAAAACACTGAGGCATTCTCATCAAAGGAGAAGAAACTGTGTCAGGAGCCAATAACTGTGGGGGAATCAAACAGAAATGTGAACGCAGGAGGTAAGCCAAGATTGGGAGTTGCCAAGTAAGGGGGTTATTACTATCATCAAAAAAACAACTTCAAATGTGGGGAAAATATAAAACAGTCTATGCCAAGACCAACAACGAAAGTATTAGAGAAATCGAAAAAATGTTTTGTGCTCTATTCTGAAGAAAGCAATACGGTGAGAATAGAATGCACACAATGCAGAAGACAGGAAAACACTGAAGCATTCTCATCAAAGGAGAAGAAACTGTGTCAGGAGCCAATAACTGTGGGGGAATCAAACAGAAATGTGAACGCAGGAGGTAAGCCAAGATTGGGAGTTGCCAAAAAGGGGGTTATTACTACTTACACGCCTGAGCTGACAACATCAAAATGAGGTCATCAGGAGCACCATCGAAGGAAGATTCAGATGAGTTACCGGGCACAAGTGTTCTAATTGGACAAAAACCAAACTCGAGCCAAATGCAACTGTTTACGAGACCACTGAGGGAGCGTAAGCTACCAAAGTTTTCGAGAGAACGAATTTTTAACCAGTGCAGTGTCAGTAGAAAAGCAAAAAAAAGTTCTTACGATCACTACAAACTCAAACGAGGACAAAAATGAGTAGCCAATAGCAGCGCCAAGAGCAGCTAGCGGCGAGCACGTTTAGCCGACCATGGAGAGGAGCGAATTAAGGAGAGTGCACACTAAAAAACAGTGTTAGTCCCAAAACAATATCAAGCCCAAGAAGTAAAGCGCGAAATGAAAAGGTTCTAAATTTACTGGGGGAGATTCTTCACAAGATAAAGATAACTTTCAGGGCTTAGATGGAGACGGGTAATTTTGTGCATGTGGTTACGTGTTCCTAAGGCGTGACTTTAAATTGGTTTTGACTTTATGCGTTGGCTGGAGACGCGCATTAAAACAGCGGAAAGAATCCCACTCTGGGTAAACAAGTGGATTTTGCCCAGGAGGCATCACCAAGGAAACGGGAGGCAATCTACCAAGCGGGAGGAGATTACCTAGACCGAGTTGGTGGAGATTCGTCAATTTCAGTCTCAATAACCAGACGGGTTCGGGCTAAAACTCTTAATTAGACGAACAGCTAAGTCTATCAGACTCATATACGCCAATGGCTAGGATTGGAAACGGGAAATTTTGCCAATTTGAATCACAGAGTCGGACGCACCACCGGTCCTGATGGTGAAAAAACAGCAAAATATGCGTAAAAATAGTGAGAATTTTTAAAAGAATTAGAAAATACTTCGATTTGGAGCGGAAACATGAAGATTGAAAACGGAGGATACAAACTGTTCAAAGTAGGATCACATTGTTCGATTTAATACAAAAATTGGAGACTAGTCAGGCTATGGTGAACATATTTGATTTCCATACTTAGCTGCGCAAAAGCCCTAGGTACACCAAAAATTAATTTGATTATATGAGTTGGAGCGGGGGAGAGAAAAACAGCCGAGCATTCAAAGGTTTCATTAGGCAGAATTCGAAAAATTCAAAGAGCTGACCTAAAATTGTCGACAAATTTTTCAAAAAAACACCCAATTTTTTCCACTCTTTTCAAGAAATACAGAGTAATTCGTTTCGTGGGACAATTTTCCAACTAAAAAAAGATCAAAAAATCATTTGAAAAGAATCTATTACACTTTGTGGGCATCCAAAAAGTGCATATCACAATGAAATTATTTTGTTAATAGTAACAATTACTTGGCGGCGTTTGTGACTTCGTCGAGTATGAGCTGTTCATTCTGCACGATGAAGTCAGGCGAGAAGAAGCGGTCAGTCTCGAACGAAGTGTATCCTCCACAGTCCTCGTTCTCAATGTAGAGACCTATAAACGAGGGGCCGATCTAGCATTTTCTTTGAAAACTTTGAAGATGAAAACTTTGAAGATGAAATCTTTTTTTTACGTCAACCAAAATGATTTTACAATTTTCCGAGATCTACCAACTTGCTTTTTTGCAACATTTTCTGCTGTGTAAATGTGTTTTTGAAAAAAAAAAAAAACAAGCCAAACATGCCATTTTTGTGCTTTTTTGGAAGTGTTTGACCTAAAAAGGGCACCTTTTCAGCAGACGGCTCTAGAAAAATTTCAGAGTCATCAATCAACACCATCCCCCACCCCCCCCCCCCCCACCAGTGAATCCGCCTCTGCTATAAACAATATAACAATATCTTAAAAGATCGACAAACATTTCGATATTTTTTTGAAAGTGTTTACCAAGGAATAAATGTTGCGTTTGGTGGATGGCGTGGAACACATCGTTTAGTACTGACTCAGCAAATATTCTCAGCGCCAAGTCTCTCAAATCAGCGCCCATGATCACGTAGTGCAGTCGGAAGTGAATCGTATGCACCTTAAGCGAGAAGCGAGTACTTCAGGTGTTTTATGTTTTGATATAACACTACAAATTTAATAGAGAAAAGTTGGTCAATATTTTTTTTCAGATTTTTTCCTCCTCAAACTGTTGTTTTCGGCCATTAAACTTGTGAAGTATCCTGTCAATAAACGGAACGAATGGGATTTTAAAATTATTTTTGAACAAATTTGGGCTTTTTCGAAGTGTGCATATTTTTCAAACAGGTGAAATAATGAGTCCATGGATTATATTATGCTCCTACATTAGTTTAAGTGGTAGATCGTTTTTAACTATATTCGATATTGACCAAAGACTATATCAGCCGTTAATTTGTAAGAGAAACATCGTTAATTTGGTCCTATTTTAAGGAAATAGAGTTAATTTAGTTAGCTGGAGAAAGGGATTTTTTTTCAGTTGTTTCGATATTTTGTAAAAAATACATTTTGTATATTAAGCGTTACATGATTTTGTATATTTGTTTGTTATATGATGACCTTGGAAATATGATTTTTTTTATTGCTTTGATTTGTCTTTTTTGAAGATTTGAAGTTGTGTTAGAAGTGTGAACAGAAGTGTGAAATGATTCGTGAAATGAAGATATAAGACTTAATTGTGGCTGTTTGGTTGGTTGTTCAATTGTACCTGTGGGTAGAATGTTCCGTGGAACGAGGCTGGGCCCACCAGGGAGAGGATTGCCTGGGCTGAGAAGCCCTCGTGATATACCAGAGTGGCCTTGGCTGGGGATATGCTGGACAACAGCCACTCGTACTCCTTCAACGCCACTGGGTTCATCGCCTGGAAACAAGTCTCACTCGCTTTATATCAAAGTCATTTAACTCTCCACGTTTTTATCAGCGCCATTTATCCAACTATCATCCACCCCCTCCCCCGCCCCCTGTGTTTTCATCTTTCGTAATTTAACCCCCCTTTCAAAAGGTGGTTTGGTTATCGTTATGATGAATATTAAAAAGAAGTTAAAAGAAGCCAAAAAATTGTCAAAAACAGGATACAAAAATTCTTTTTTGAAGAATTTTTGAAGGAGTTCTTTTTTGAAGGAGTTTTGAAGGAGTTTGTTGAGTTGTCCATTTTTTTGGAAAGTTTCGAAACTCAGCTGAACGAAACTATGAATTGCGCCTGAAAACAACAAAAACGCTAAAGCAAAAGATGATAAATAAAACGCTGTGCGCACACATTTTTTTCAGGAGTTCAAGTTCAGAAAATTTGGCAGAGAGTGTTCAAAAACTGCTTTGACTTTTTTTCAACATCTACCGAGTAGATTTTTTTAAATTTTAAAGTCATAAAAACTCACAAAACTCCCCCCCCCCCCCGTTTGTACGTTTTTGGGTGGAGACAAACACAAAGGTACTTTATACCATCTTCAAAAAGACCCTTTGCTTTTGGCCACTCGAACTAAACCTGCTCGAACTGAATCTGCTTTTGGCTACTCGAACTAAGTTTTTTTCTAAAAAAAAAGCGCTTAAGGTGTTACTATATGTCAACGATGTTGGAGGAGCATGCACCGATTGAAAAGCAACTTTTGGTCTAAGCGTTGCAAAATCTCCAAAAAGACAGAAATTTTTCCGCCAACGCAAAAAAAAAATGAAAACCCATGCACAAAACCTGCATTAGATCCTTGCAGTTAAGGGATTGGTTAAGAACTTATACCCAGATCGGGTTATTGATGAGATCTTGATTGTTTTTTTTCTCTAAGTTTCATAGACAAGCAGGTGTAGAGGCTTTTTAATGAAATTTAGACCTAACATACTTTGCAAAAAAAATACGCGAAGCTGACAATTTATTTCGTACCTTAATAACACTAGCCAGTCCCCACACATTAGTGAACTTTCGCACGCCTGCCAAGTATGAAATGTCACTTAAATAAGTGGGCATGTTGAGAGCTTTGTTCACACTGTCCGCGGATATTTTGTTGAGGAAGAAGGCCTGGTTTTCCAGCTTGAGAGCCCTGTGGAACCCTGCGTGTGGATTGTAGGGCAGCTGGTCCTGTTCTAACAGACTCATGAGTACTTTGGAGAGAGTGAGATCTATTTTGTGTTCACGCATGTAGTTCACAAACACCGACATGTTGAAAGCTGAAAAAAATCGAAAAAATTCAACTTTATAGCTGGGAAAATTTGTCATAATCCATGAGGATTACCTATTTCATGCCATTAAATAAGGATCAAGGTAGAAAAAAAAAATCAGCTGTTCAGATGAAGTGACTATAACATACCGAGTTCCGAGTCTGTACTATAACATAAGTGACTATATTATTGGTGACTATAACATACAGCGGCGGATTTAGGGGGGGGGGGGGGGGCGTAAACGCTTTGGGCGAATACCCCCCTCCCTCAGGGATTCGACCCCTGCCGACCCAAAGGGCCCTCCCTTGAACTATTTTGAGATATTCATTTTTGGCCGTTGGACCCCAAAATGTTTCTAAAGGCGCCTTTGGCGCCAATATATACTAATTTTGAGGGGGTAGCACGCGCCGAAAAAACGCATTTTTTTAGTCAAAAATCCTAAAATGTGCCTAAAAACTAATTTTTGGCCCGTTTTTTCAAAATTTGGTCCAATCAGGGTCTTTTTAGTACTTTGGGAGAGCTCGGAAAATCAAATTGGTCGATCTAAAAAAAATCGACAACATCGATAAGGTTGGTTTTTTTTTACTTACACTTTTCCAAATTTTGTCTGTTAACAGCATGATATTCCCGCAAAGACCATTATATAAATCATTATATACTGTGGTATGATAGTTTCTCCTTGGGGCAATTTTCTTATAAAAACAAAAGGAGCTGTTTGCAAAAAAAATCATGCCAACTTAAAAAAAGAAACTTTTCAATTTTTTGTATTTTTCAATTAAAACGGTTTCTTAAAACACTTGAGATGATAAATCGACATATTATGTTATGCGGGACCAACATATCTGTCAACTGTTCTTATGTTTTAAAAGAAACAGAAAAGCGTTCATCGTTGTAATCAAAAGGATGAGTAGTCAGACGTACATGGACAGATTTGAGATTGAATAAAAGAAAGCTATTATTTGGAGACACAGAATAAGTTTTATTCAATAATTGCTTTTTGAGATCTGAATAAAACCCTTCATTAATAGCTGCATCCTGAATAAAAGCCACATTTTGATTAGTACTAAAATTGATACCAGAAAATTTAAAATTCATTTTCAGCCAAGAAATCTGAACGAAGGTTTAATAAGTATGTTTTCTACGCACATTTTTGCCTAAGTGTAGATTTCAGGGATTGCTTCTCTAGGTTAACGGCACCGCAAAGTGGTCCCTTTGGTAGTGAATTCAGCGGGGCGACCGAGATTTACTACTATCCACAATCCCGAAAGGGTTAAGTTGGTGGCAACTACTCCGTACTGTATTCTGTTACTTGCTCCTTTCTATGATTTCTATGTATTCTGTTACTTCCTTTCTATGCTGTCTCGTCCAGGACCATATGCGGGCTGCTGGGGATCTTCGGCATCCTCTGAAGCTGACGGTTTGGGTAGGGGCCCGACCGCGCCTGCTGATGGTTGCGGGGTTTTCGGGGCTGTAGAGGACCGCAGTGGTTTGTAATGCAGGGGAACTATCGACCCTTCCTTGGGTCCTGTCCACAGGCTATCGCCGTGGAAATCCAGTGCGCATTCGTATAAAGTGACTGCACTTGCTCCGATTCAGTCGTCTGGTCGATGCGTTGTAGGATCCGGGGGGGGGGGCATCTGAGGACTCGGGGTTTGTTGGAGAGAGCTACTAAAAGGTGGGCTCCCACCGCTTGCTTGTTGATTCTTGAAGTTGGCCGGGACGAAACCTCCTTGGTATCCGTTCACTGTCCCGGCCCTCGGTAGTTTAAATGGTCAGCGGCTTTCTGGTGGCATTCTTTCGCGAAGTGCCCTGGCTGATGACATGCGTAGCAGTTGCCGCGGGAAGCCTGATTTTTCGCTCCGTAGCGTCCCACACCGCTGTTCTCGTAGCTCCGACGGTCATCTCCCAGATAGGGGTCGGGTCATATAGCTGCCGCGGCCGCTCTGTCTGTTCGGTTCGGGGTAGATTCTCCGGGTGGGGGCAGGAATAATAGAATTAACGAACCTACCCATCATTGCCGTCATGTTCTGCATTTGTGTCAGAAGGTCACTCTGCACACTCACTAGTTGGTCTATCCTCGGGTCAGTGCCCACTGGTTGTCGTCCCGCACCGGTCGCCCCTGGAGTAGTCCGGGCGCTCTGTCCCTGACCTCCACGACTGACTACGGCCACTAGCGCCGATACATCCTATGCTACTATCGCACGGCGCAGCTTCTTCCTGTTTCTGGCTCGGGACGATTTGTTCACCAATTCCAGAGCCTGAGCTCGGGCCACTGCCTGTGCCAAGCTCCCCAATTCTTCTGGTAGGATGAGGTCCTGCAGCTCCACATCATACAAACCGTCGATAAACTGTTCGCGGTTCATGTCGTCTCTAGCCTGAGCACCCACATTCGCAATCGCCACGTCGTCAAGGGATCTGACACGGCCGCATTCCCGCAGCCCTTCCTTGTCGCTCTGCATCAGGTTTTTGAACTCTTCCCTGACGCCTGCCTGAGCCTGGATTGGCATCATTCGCTGGTCAAGTTCGCTCAGCATTCCCCTTAAGGTGGGGTCTGGGAAGTCGTCGACTTCCTCTCTGAAGTGGGCTGGCATGCTCGTAAATTCATCAAGGGCACATCCCGTCAAACAGGTACGCAACACCATCCTGGCCTGTTCGTCTTCCCACCGATTAGCATCGGCAAACCAGGCGAAGTGCTTCCTCCAGTCCGACCAGTTCTGGTAGCTGTTGGAGGGAAAGCGGTCAGGTCGGATCGTTCCGAACCCAAACCTCCCCTGTTGCCTGTCAAGAGCATTTGCCACTGCAGCTTCTGCCATCAATGCGCGGTCTTGGTCGTTCGTTGTCTGTCAAAATCGTCCCGTTTAACACAGAATAATCGTAACTACAGTCCAGAATAGGGCCCACCCAGGAGCGCCAATGTAGATTTCAGGGATTGCTTCTCTAGGCCCGTTCTCACTCTCTGGCTTAACGGCACCGCAAAGTGGTCCCTTTGGTAGTGAGTTCAGCGGGGTGACCGAGATTCACTACTATCCACAATCCCGAAAGGGTTAAATTGGTGGCAACTACTCCATACTGTATTCTGTTACTTGCCCCTTTCTATGCTTCTCTTGCGGCTGTCTCGTTCACTCTAGCCGATCACACGAGTTTTCAGTAATAATTAAATTCAAATAAATATTGCTCCAAATACAGAAGGGTCTAGTCGGCCTCAATTATAATCTAGTATTCTAATCAAAAGGAAAGGGTCCACGATCAATCGATACAATTGCCTTATTGCAATTCGAGTTCCGAATCATTAGCCAACAATTGTCTCTTTTCTAGAGAATCCTAAGTTTTTAATTACCCAGAGTAATGCTACTTAATCACTCAGTCCGACCTCACAATTCCTGATTCTCTAACTAACTGAGAACCAACCGTTCGCTCTCACAGCACAATTTTTCTTCTCTAGCTAACGAGAACCGACTACTCTCTCTAGTAATTCACAGTGTTCTGCCTAAGGGTAAGCTGCTTGTTATTCTCTATAATATTTGTCTATTTGAGTTTTAGTTATAGTTAGAGTTATGTCGTCCCTACAAGTCCTGATCTTTATTTTGGTACCCATTTCGCAAGGTTTTGACTGAATTCTTCGCCTGACGCCACTAGTCTTAAGTTCCAAATTCATTACAGGCGTCTCTAACTAAATTGTGCAAATATCAAGTCCAATTTCACCTCCGAACCGAGGTATGTTTAATTGACCAATCTTCCCAAGGTTTTTATTTAATTGTCCCATTAACGTTCCAACCTCCCAGGGGTAGGGAAAGACCCTTTTTATGGGTCGCTAACTCATTCTAAGCATCTAAAATTCCGATCTACACTCTATTCTAATCCCGACCTTCTAGCTACCAGGGAAACGTAAATCGCTTATTAGGGGTCGAATTATGCCAAAAAGCCACCTCCGGGGAGCTAAGTAAATATCCCGTTCATTCAAGTTATTTAGGAGTCCTACTGCCCATGCTATACCTCCGTTACTGTCAATTCTCTCTGGGACTACTTTTTTTAAACCCTTATTGCTATTCTATTAATAGCGCATTCGCCAAGCCAAGTTGAACCCGATGTTTGCCAAGTTCACTTCAATTGATTCCACTGATTCAATTATACAATGTCTAAGCTATACCTTTTTCGGCTTCTCAATTATTCCCCAATAGGTAAGTTCCCTCCAAAATATTAGTAAGGTGACCGATTCTCATTCCCAAGGGTTGGGGTCGGATGTATACGCCTCTTTCCAGTGTTAATCCCGAGGTTTTCCATACAAATTTGGTTCTAAACACCTAAAGGTCAATTTGAGGTCACCCCGGGGTCACCCGGCGTCAATCTTCCATATTCAGGTATATAATTCCATTGTGGTCCTACCTACCAATTTTCATCAATATCCCGTTAATACTTCGCAAGTTATCCAATTTCTAAGGTCCATGATCACTTTTCCCGGGGAAAGGTTATTAGCACCGGAAGGAGTCGCCGGAGGGGTTTTACTTACATGGGGTCTTTTTTTGGGGATGAGTTGTAGTATCCGATGCCGCCATGAAATCGATATGCCCTCGCTCATTATTTTGCTTAAATTGCCTACTTCCGGTTTAAAGGGTGATTTTCCAAAGTGCTAATAACTTCCGGTTCGGCCGCTGGATTTGGTTCAAATTATAACACAAGATGTACTTCGTTGCTACCTATGCTATCCTAAAGTTTTAGCTTCCTGCGTTCAGTGGGGTCCAAGAAACGACTCCCGGAAGTCGGGATTGGGTCTTATTGTATAGGGCATAAAACCGGAAGTGGGGGTCTGAGGGGTCTGGGTTTCTAAACTTAAGCTTTCCTTAAATATGTCTATGACATACTATATTTTGGTTCCATTCCAACCGCAAGTCACCGAGTTCTGATAGGGCCATTTGCACTTCCGGGAACCGTTATCACTTGGGCCCGGGGAGACCGAGGTTTACGGATTTTTGCATGCCCAGGTCAAATCATCTCTAGTATCCGTCCTATGAGTTTCATAAACCTAGCCACAGTAGTTCCCATTTGGGGAGGTCCGCCGATTTTACTTCACCTGAGTTTTCTGCCATAAGAGGGACTATATCTTTGAAGATTCAAACTTAATTTGGGTATGACTATTTGTTTACTTTTCTACTTATCGAATTGATTTATCAATACCGAGTTATATACTTCTGATTAACCTTCACTACACTGCATGCATTTGTGATGGTAAACTCCCAGACGAAATATGAGTTTGTCGAAAAGTGTTAGGATCAACGATCCTATACTAAGAAAGAACTTTTTGTTTTAGTTGACCCCTAAATTTATCAAGAAAAATTATGCGAACTGCCTTGTTGAAAAAAATGAGGACTTAACCCATAAACTTCCTTGCGAGATCCCCGCATCCAGTTTCGAGCGTTAATAATCGATTATAATATGATTTTAGTACCAGTCTTACAAAAACTGAGAAGAAATTGATTTTAATCAATTAACAATCGATATTAATCTCCCTTTTTGAAATCAAATAAAATCATTTAAAATACATTATAATCGATTATAATCAATTATTTTTATCCAAATTTCTAATTCATTTGTTTTGCAGAAAAATTCATTATAATTGATTATAATTGCTTCTAATCCCTTTTACTTCCCCATTTTGTCCTGGACCTTGCACATGAACTGCTTATTTTTTATGCTTTTTGTAGACTTTGATTTATGTGAAAAGTGGGAAAAAGTTTTGACAGATCTCAAATGAACGCAAATTTAAAACGTTTTTACTTTTTTATTTTTTATTTCTTGATTATAGTTGTTTTATGATGTAAACTTTAAGTTTTTATGACCACCAAAATATCAGCACACTGATTTAGTTTGATGATTTGTATAGAAAAGTTATATTTCACCTACCGCGGGATTCTTTCAACTAATATGATGGAAACTCTATAAAATTTTTTTGATGGTAAAACTTTGCGTTTAGATGAACCAAAGAGTTACAAGAAATCTCACTTATGGAGATTTTCTGACAGAAAAAATATTATAATTTGTTATAATGGTTTCTAATAGATTATAAGAGATTATAAGAGATTATTAGATATTATAAGAGACTATCAGAGATTATAAAAGATTTTCGGAAAAGTTATAATCAATTACAATTGATTATATTTTATTATAATGTCACGAAAAATTTTATTTTCATAATGGATTATAAATCGTTGAAACATCTAAATTGGGCGTTTATAATTAGTTATAAGTTTGATAAAAGCACAATTTAAATTGTAATTTAATCGATTACTTTATTTTTTTACTGAGTGCGGGTCAATTTGTAAAATCATAACGCGTAGTTGCTAATCACTCAAAGGGTCCTTTTTATGACATCCATTTTCGAGCAACCGACCCTGAAACTTAATTGAAGGTGCCTTTGGGGATCAACCGTACAATCTCTACCGCTAAGTGATCTACCGTAGAATGCCCTCCCCAAGCAGGTATTAAATCTGAAAACTGATTCTGTATAAAAAATGCATTTCATTCAATCGAGCAAATAAGTGTGGTTCTAATATTTTCTTATATTTTTGTATGCGGAATTGCATTTGTATACTGTTAACTGCTTAGAATAATGTTTTAATTCATTTTTTTCAGTAAAGCGGTTAATTTTGAATCAAATCTAGGCTAATCTCAAAGTTAGTTCATCAAAAATCCATATTCACCCCCCTTATCAATTTGGGAGGAAATTATAGGCGACAATATATACTTATTTCAATGTATACTAATTTTTGAATGGCGAAACCTTCAAAAAAGTGCCTAAGACATCGTTTGTGGCCTAGTTTTTTTTTTAAAAAAGATCGCTTGCGACCCAGAAAGCTTGGTGAGTTTACTTTTGGTGAAAAAGTGGTTTCTATTTGATATATTATATTATGATACTTATTTTTGTACATTATATATCTAAAAGGTGTTTTGGGGTATTTCGGAAAATCAATTTACTCAACGTAAAAAATATGGTCGACAAAGCTTTCGAACATTTTTTTGAAAAATCTACCCGCCCAATTGAAAAAACCCAAGATCTGCGCCTGATCACGCGTGGTAGAAGGCCAATCATCCAGGGACCAACAAGCCAAAAATTAGATTACAATTTACAACATAATAATCCGTTATAATCGTTTACTTACGCCTAACCTTGGATGCGGATGAACTTACCCAAGTCTTTGTTGTTGACAGGTAGTTGATACAACATGCGCACCAAGTTAGAAGTGTCCGGTCCAGTTTCGTCCTCAAACTCCGTGTCGTCCTCTTCATCACTGTCATCCACATACTGACTGCGACCCCTCAGAGCTGGCAGAAAAGGTAAATTAACTTCAGGGGTGAGGGTCTTTTTCGGTTCTCTTATAAGTTAAAATGCTCCATTTAATTCATATTCAAAATTTGAAATTCAAAAGAATGTGATTCCAGAAAAACTTCACTCGGAAATTAATGCAGCAGATTTGTCCTATTTTTAAGCCAACGTAAATTTTTTGAATTGGAATTAGAATTAGAGTTTTTGATTTTGAATTAAAGCTAAAAAAGACCCTCCCTAAGATTCAAACTCAATATATTTTCAAGCATTTCAGTTCTGGCCTTTGTTTTTGTTCCAGGGGTTTTTTGATATAATTTCATATAAATTTTTATCTCATATCTCATATATAATTAAGTGAAATTTCACTTAATTATATATAGGACCCCTTTTAAGTTTCGACATTGACTTATATCCTGTTTCACAGCATCCACTTTCAGGCGACCGAAAGTACCCTGAAATTTGTGGGGCCTATATATAAACATATACAAGTTTTTGGCCTGTTTCGTTAAAAATTTGCCAGGGAAAATTTAATAATTCGAAAAATCAGATTGCATTGAGATTTTTTTAAAAAAATTTAGCCACATTTATGAAATTGGAATTAAGTGAAAATTCATGCCTTCGAGATCAAACTCGTCAATGCCGCCCTCTGAATTCGCTCCTCGCCCACTGACTGTGACGTCATCCCGCTGCCAATCTCTGGCTCGACTGGGCGCCGGCCGCTGTCTTGCTTCGCCTCCATTGTTGCTTCTCGGCTGCTGCTGGCTCGTGCTCATAATTCAAAATGATTGAGAAATTTTTTTCAATTAAAAGATTCAAAAGAATTTATTTTGCAAAAATATCCAATAATTTCAAATCAGAAGTGTTATTTTTTTGTACTAAAATTAATTTTAATCGAATTTTCAACAACAAAAGCAGCATAAGTTTGTACCATTGTTGTATTAACTATAGTTTATTAATGCGTTGTCAATGCATATGCTATGTATATTCATCAAAAAGTTGTACACACTTTTCTTAGATGATCACGCAAATGTCTAAGTCTAATAGAATTGAGACAGTCAAACCGAGCCGATATTCACAAACTACACACTGTTCTAAAGCGTACATGGCAACTGGCAAGTTTTTGGATGATTCAAATAGCAAATTCTGTTTCCCATTTTTGAAACCCCCACCCATTTTGTTCGCGACAATTACGATTCGTAATACTGGAACACAATATCCTAGCAATCTTTATTGTTCTAGAAAGCTCGCGGTCAACCGATTCGACTGAGCCTGCTGCCATATGCCTTGGAAAAAAAGAATACCCTAGCAACCCTTATTGTTCTAGAAAACTCGCTGTCAATCGATTCGACTAAGCCTGCTGCCATATGCCTTGATTGTAAAAAAAAAAATTGACTGCTTTTTATGACCCTTCTACAAAACAATGTAACAAGACTGCTCGTATGAGTTCGATTCTCTGAAGGATCAAATTTCCAAGAAGGGTGTATAAAATTTTTTGATGAAAAAAGGATATAACTTTTGAATAACAATTTTTTCTAAACTTTTTCTTGGAAATTTTTATCTCACACGCAAGGAAGGTCGAGTACAGTGCTGATTTAAGTTAACCTGACGAAATGAAAAAAAAATGTAAAATTAATTCATTTTTTTTTTCAGTTTTTGGGTGACTTTTTAAAATCAAGAAGACAAAATGTGGTTAGATTCAGGTGCGGATTTAGTGAGGGGGGCCGGGGGACGCAGACGCCCCCTTCCCCCCTCAGGGATTCGACCCCTGCCGACCCAAAGCGTACCCCTTGTGAGTTTTTGAGGTATCCATTTTGGCTGACGGCCCCCAAATTTTTTCTAACGGTGCTTTTGGCGCCAATGTATACAAATTTTGAGGGGCGAGTACGCGCCGAAAAAACTCAATTTTTCGGTCAAAATTTTCCAAAAATTGCCTAAAACGCCTGTTTTTTCAAAATGAAATTTTGCTTACGGCGTAGTAAGTTTGGCAGAAAATTTGGCAGAAGAACTAGGATATTTGTAGTACTTTAGGAGAGCTCTGAAAATCAAGTTAGTCGACCTTAAAAAAAAGTCGATAAAATTTTCGAGACAATCCTAGATCCGCCCCTGGTTAGATTTATAGCAAAATTCAAACGGTGTAATTTGTTCAGCGAAATTCTGACCTAAAATTTTACCTCAAAAACGGACCATTTTAGTTTTTAGTCAATGAAAAATTACGCCAAAACTGCAGATTCAATTGGTGAAAAAAACTATATCAAAGTGAGAAATTTATATAGCCCAACAGAATTTAAAAAAACCTACTCAAACTTGTATTTAAAAAAATTAGTTTTTGTCTAATAGCAAAAAAAACTCTTTTTTTACTAATAAAAATCAAATTTTTATTTACACAAGCAGAACGTAGTAAGATACTACATAGAAAACTAATTTTCCAACTTAAGTCACGAGTATTGATGCTTTTTGGTGGCACCTTTATTTCCAAAAAATTTATAAAAACAACTTTGGCAAAACAAAACTTTGAACAACGAAATCAAAAGTTTGTTTGATCTTTGATCTACTGTAAATAGGCAGTTACTTTTCTTAATCCTGGTGATGTTTTTTAAGAGAAAATTCTAAATTTAAAATTTTAATCCAGTCTTTAATAATGTAATTTTCACAATTTTCTTGGAAAACAGAAGCAAGAGAAACAACAAGGGATGCGCACAACGACACTGGAAGGCAATGGCAACAACACCGAATGACTCCATTTTCAAAACGGATACAGATGCAAGTTTCAGCGAGCTTAAGCGGTTTAAATTGTTCAAATATACAAGGTGGAGAATTGCGTGCAGCGCCTTCTTAAAGTACCATCGAAAACAGTTGTCGTCTCAGCGGCAGTCGTCCTTTTTGCCGGTCACCATGTTCGAATTAGACGTAGTGTCATTTTGCGCATTTCCTTGTCTTGCCGACTTTTGACTTATGCGTATTTTAAAATATTACTATGAGTTGATTAACATCGAGTCGAGGTGCGCAACCTGTATTGAAACACTGAGAATGATCATCGCAAACACGGAGAATGATCATCGAGTCGAGGTGTGAAACATACCACGAGCACCTTTGAAACATACCACGAGCAAGAACTAATCAAGCCTCGAGCACAGTCAAAACATACCACGAGTACGGTCCAATCAAACTACAAGCACGGCCGAAACATGCCACGAGCATGGCCAAAATATACGACGAGCATGGTCAAAACTTATCACGAGCACGGTTGAAACATACCACGAGCATGGTCAAAACATACCACGAGCATTGTCGAATCATACCTCGAGCACGGTCGAAACATACCACGATCATGGTCGAAGCCTACCATGAGCATGGTCGAATCATACCTCGAGCACGGTCGAAACATACCTTGAGCACGGTCGAAACATACCACGAGCACGGTTGAAACGTACGACGAGCATGGTCGAATCATACCTCGAGCACAATCGAAACATACTATGAACACGGTTGATTCATACCTCGAGCACGGTCGAAACATACCACGAGCATGGTCGAAGCCTACCACGAGCACGGTTGAATCATACCTCGAGCACGGTCGAAACATACCACGAGCACGGTTGAAACGTACCACGAGCATGGTCGAACCAAACCTCGAGCACAATCGAAACATAGTATGAGCACGGTTGACTCATACCTCGAGCACGATCGAAACATACCACGAGGATGGTCGAAGCCTACCACGAGCATGGTTGAATCATACCTCGATCACGGTCGAAACATACCACGAGTACGGTCCAATCAAACCACAAGCACGGCCGAAACAAGCCACGAGCACGGCCAAAATATACCACGAGCATGGTCGAAACTTATCACGAGCACGGTCGAAACAAACCACGAGCACGGTTGAAACGTACCACGAGCATGGTCGAATCAAACCTCGAGCACAATCGAAACATACTATGAGCACGGTTGACTCATACCTCGAGCACGATCGAAACATACCACGAGCATGGTCGAAGCCTACCACGAGCATGGTTGAATCATACCTCAAGCACGGTCGAAACACACCACGAGCACGGTTGACTCATACCTCGAGCACGGTCGAAACATACCACGAGCATGGTCGAAGCCTACCACGAGCACGGTTGAATCATACCTCGAGCACGGTCGAAACATACCACGAGCATGGTCGAAAAATACCACGAGCATATCCGAAACATACCACGAGCACCGTCAAAACATACCATTCGACCACTACAGTTGATTCATACCTCGAGCATGGTCAAAACATACCACGAGCAGGGTTGAAACATACCTCGAGCATGGTCGAAAAATACCACGAACATGGTCGAACGTCCACGAGCATGGTCGAAACATACTACGAGCAGAGTCGAAGTATTCCACGAGCACGGTGGAAATATACCATGAGCATGGTCGAAGCCTACCACGAGCACGGTTGAATCATACCTCGAGCTCGGTCGAAACATACCACGAGGACGGTCGAAACATACCACGAGCATGGTCGAAACATACCACGAGCATGGTCGAATCAAACCTGGATCACGATCGAAACATACTATGAGCACGGTTGACTCATACCTCGAGCACGGTCGAAATGTATCACGAGCATGGTCGAAGCCTACCATGAGCATGGTCGAATCATACCTCGAGCATGGTCGAAACATAGCACGAGCATGGTCGAAGCCTACCACGAGCACGGTTGAATCATACCTCGAGCACGGTCGAAACATAACACGAGCACGGTTGAAACGTACGACGAGCATGGTCGAATCATACCTCGAGCACAATCGAAACATACTATGAACACGGTTGATTCATACCTCGAGCACGGTCGAAACGTATCACGAGCATGGTCGAAGCCTACCATGAGCATGGTCGAATCATACCTCGAGCACGGTCGAAACATACCACGAGCACGGTTGAAACGTACGACGAGCATGGTCGAATCATACCTCGAGCACGGTCGAAACATACCACGAGCACGGTTGAAACGTACGACGAGCATGGTCGAATCATACCTCGAGCACAATCGAAACATACTATGAACACGGTTGATTCATACCTCGAGCACGGTCGAAACATACCACGAGCATGGTCGAAGCCTACCACGAGCACGGTTGAATCATACCTCGAGCACGGTCGAAACATACCACGAGCATGGTCGAAGCCTACCATGAGCATGGTCGAATCATACCTCGAGCACAATCGAAACATACTATGAACACCGTTGATTCATACCTCGAGCACGGTCGAAACGTATCACGAGCATGGTCGAAGCCTACCATGAGCATGGTCGAATCATACCTCGAGCACGGTCGAAACATACCACGAGCATGTTCGAAGCCTACCACGAGCACGGTTGAATCATACCTCGAGCACGGTCGAAACATACCACGAGCACGGTTGAAACGTACGACGAGCATGGTCGAATCATACCTCGAGCACAATCGAAACATACTATGAACACGGTTGATTCATACCTCGAGCACGGTCGAAACATACCACGAGCTTGGTCGAAGCCTACCACGAGCACGGTTGAATCATACCTCGAGCACGGTCGAAACATACCACGAGCATGGTCGAAGTCTACCATGAGCATGGTCGAATCATACCTCGAGCACGGTCGAAACATACCACGAGCACGGTCGAAACATAGCACGAGCATGGTCGAAGCCTACCACGAGCACGGTTGAATCATACCTCGAGCACAATCGAAACATACTATGAACACGGTTGATTCATACCTCGAGCACGGTCGAAACATACCACGAGCATGGTCGAAGCCTACCACGAGCACGGTTGAATCATACCTCGAGCACGGTCGAAACATACCGATTGTCGGTTGAGACTGTCAAAATATACCATTTTCAGGCCGAGAAGGTTGTAATAAATTGAGCGCCTTGACTCGGGTGTTTATGCATTAAAATTGAATCATTTTTCATCAACGATAATTTTTTAATTCCAGCTTTAAAATTGAGCAGGATATTTGTTCTTCACTGCTCATTTTGCGTTCCTGAAAGACCTAGACTGATATTTTAATACTTAATTGCTGTCTGGCTTTTTTATTTTTCAAATGTTAGTAGTCGCGATACTGAACACTTCAATCAGGGTCTCAATATTTTTATAGCTGCAATTTTGTGTCGCAATTTCTAGACAGACATAAAATTCCCTAGGGTTAAATTTAAGCTAGAAATGAATACATGTGGAGAAATGTGGGAGTAGGAATTGGAAAAGCAGGAATGCCAGAATATGCCGCAGTGTCTCGGAGTAGTGTTCCAAGAATCGACAGAGCAATTAACAGAATAAGTTACCAAGTATACAAAAACCTGGCTTGAAATCTAAACCTTACGTCGTCGCTAATTCTTGGCAAAACTATATGTTTCAGAGGACAGTCATGTATAAATCAGTATCATAATAACTAGCTCGCGGTAATTTATGTTTTTTAAACGAATTACAGCGTTTTTTTTCTACGGGAGAACACCACGGGAAATCGCAGCTGTGCTTGGAAAATTAATTACTGCCAAAAAATAAACAACCGTTTATTTGTCTCATTAGCCCTATTTTCACGAACCTTTTAAGCGTTATCATGAACAAAACTTTTTTGAAAAAAATTGTAAGCTTTTCCTAAGTATTTGAAATTCTATACCTGCATGAATTTCTGCTTACTTTTATGCTTTTTTTTGGTCCAGCCATGGCATGATTGTGCGAAATTGTAAATGGGAAGATACGCAAGTGCTAGTTAGCAAACAGCAAGTATTATTATAGTAACTTAAAGCCCAAGTGAATCAGAGCTTCTGCGGTTCCATTGGCCAATCAGAATCGGAGAGTTTTCCCGCTACTGCTCTCTTCTCGCGGTTGCCTCTGTTTTTATACCCACTTGGGCCATTTTTATATAGTTCAAATTTTGTCCATTCGCTGCTTTTCTTTTTCCTCAGTCGAGTCGCCGCTGCTGTTTGTACTGTGACTTTTCCTACCATACCAACACTACTACCACTACACCGCCACCTAACCCATAACACTTTACCGACAATATTTTTCTACTTTTTACTTCCTAATATTATTCAAAAATTCGATAGTTTACCGTGAATTGTTCAGTTTTGCCTCCGTGTATTCGTTTATTAATTTCCTGACATTCTTCTCTTTTTTTCTGGTTCCCAGCGGGTAAGAAGCGCAGCGCTGAGTTGAAAAGTTGTCACAACTGTTATAATTCCATTATCTGAATTAAGCGTTTTTAGCGGCGCAGACATCATCACATTCTATTTATATTACTTAGGCAGACTTTGATTGATAACAAACCTTTACCTCTGCTTCATCAAAAACTCAAAAAAACTGAACTACTTCAACTATTTTTAGTTAATATTACTTCTGGTTAATAAAAGTTGTGTCAAATTATTGAAATTTGACTTGAAAATCTCTGGCTTTGTCTATTCGTTTTACGTCAGCGGAATTTTCAGAGGTATAAAGTTTGAGATCTTTTGACTTTTTCGGCTCAATTTAAATTTATAATATTGCCACACTATTAACTTTTTTAGATTCTTAATTTCTGAAAACTCATTCGAATTAATTTTTTTCGAGACTTTTTTTAAACATATTTGAAGAATTGTAATTTTGGGCCGAAAAGGTAAAAAGACCGAAAAAAAACAGAAACGTGAAAATGGGCTGCAGCGGATCAAAGAGTTCTACTGAGGGGGTGACTGATCCCGTCAAAACAGAGGAGGGAAAAACGAATGAAACGCCCGAGGCAGATGTAGCTCAAAACGGATCCGCCGGTTAGCCAAGCTTTAAAATTAAATGTGAATATACCCGGGTTGAGGTTTCGACTTTTTGTTCCGACCAACGTGGTCGAGCCAGATGTCATAGTTTAACCATAAGTTCATGGCCGACCAGAACCTGTTGTCGAACTGCGTCGAAACATAGAAACTAACTGGGTCAAGTTTTAAAGCCGAACTATGAGTCGAACGAAATCTCAAAATGCGACCAAAAATCCATAGTCGCGCGGACCATAGTCGAACTGAACTTCCAATTATAAAGTCGAACAGAAATGATTTTTTTTGGTACAGCGACCTTTCACCTTTCAATTGAGAAGTAGGAAATGCTAGGGGGTCATATACCTTTATTGGGCCGCTATGGCTGCGGAAAAGGTCGCACGAGTCGAGAAAGGAATACCAATTTTGGGTCACAATTGTCGCAACGACATAAATGGCGTGCCCCGACCTGGATTACCAATCCTATTAACTTAATCAAAAGTCTGAATGCATTTCTTGAAGAGAGCCTCAAGAACTGTTCTGCTTAAACAGTTTTTTTTTCTTCGATTAAAAGTCCTAGTAGTTTTTCGTAGGGCTATTCTCTTGACAGAACAACTGAATGACAAAAAAAATCAGCCAATCAAAGTTTTTGTTCACGTTCAAAGCTGTGATTGAAATTTCACGCCTTACGCGGAGAAAAAAATAAATGGAGCCCTTACGCGGAGAATGTGTCATTCCCTTACAATTCGTTCAGCTAAATAACAACAAGACTGATCGTATCAGGGCTGTTCTGAGTGCTTGTCAACGTATCTGACTTTTCATTCATGAGTAAAATTTCAATTTTGAGCATTTTGTTTTTTTTTAAGATCAGTCATCCAAAAGCAAAATTTGGATGAATGAACATGCCTAAATTTAATTTGGATGTTTTTTTTTGCTGGATTAACTTAGTGCCTGCACTATTTATTGAACAATAAACAGAATTACTTATCCAGAATTACTATCATTATTAGCACCCAACTTTATGAAAAATGTTAGCAGGTGAAATAGTCTTTTTCATTTTAAGTTCAAAGCATCAATATCTATCAGACAGTATAAAATTCTGTCACAAATGTCCAAATACAAATTCGAAAGTTAGTGTGGAAAAAAACTACACGGGCACAATGAATCAATTCGTATCAATGTAAAGCGTCAAATCTTTTTACTACCACTGCACGTCGATAGAGTAGTTCTTGATTTGAAAAACAAAATCCAAAAAAAGCACATGGATGAAATATTTTTCAAAAAAAAATCGGAAGAGAAATCTTCTTTCTGAAAAATTCCGTCTTTTTCAAATGAAGAAACACTCTATCGGCGTTCAATGGATCTGGAAAAGCTAGCTATTTGGCCTAATTGTTCTGTTACTAAGTGCAAAGTATATCATTTCTGATAGCGTGTACATAGAAGATTTTCAAAAAAAAATTGGTGAAAAATATTCTATCAGACGTGATTCGTTTTGCACTCAGTTTCAGATCAACTAGGCCAAATAGCCTGCAACAATTCAATTTGACGTAAGATATAAGGAAAATTAAATGACCGTTTACAAGTTTTGGGCTAAAAAAATTATAGACCGTTAGGTATCTCAAATTGGTCAATTTGGAAAGCTTCAAAGCCTCTCAACCCTTTCATTAGTAAATGATCGCATCTAAAGACTTTTTGTAAAGAAAATGTAGCCCAGTGCTTTGATAATAACAAAATAGTATGAACATTTTTTTAAAGCGGTCTAGTTAAAGTCGAAAAATGTCTGAACACTTTCTTTCCAAGTCAAAAAATTACGTCACTCTCTTTAAAAGTTAGAGCAACTATTCAGTTTTTGCATTTCATGGTGGATGCATCAAATACTTTACCTGCTTAGCTGCTTTTTTGATTTGCTTCTTTCCAATTCTGAGTAAAACCTAACATAACTAAAAAAAATTGAAAGATTACATTTTTTTTTGTTGAATACTTTTAGAAAAGGCAACTTTCTTTTTGTTCTTATAAAATGAAAAACAGGAGAAATTACTTCTATATTGGATATAAATGCAAATCTAAAAAATGACCAGTTTTTGTTTTTTTTACACCAAAATAGTTTAAAACAGTTTTCGGTTACGGCTATTATTTTTTGTCAGATTGATAATTTCCATGAAATTACGTTTATTTGTCATTAAAAAAAAATTATCAAAAGTTCTTGAGACAAGCGGTGAAAAAACTATCCAAGCAACCATCAGACCCCATAATGGTGTGAAGTTCTCAAACCGAAAAAGTTTTGTGTACGCGCTTAGGAACTTGATAAACGCAGAATCAGTGCAAGATCATAGCGCAAATTAAGGTGGAAAGTTTACGAAAAAACTCCAATTCACGAAATACCAGTTAAAACTATTCTGAAGTTAACAAGAGAAGATAACTAGTTTGTGGAAGCGATTCTAATTTATTTGGCTTGGTTTGCAGACAGACGACAAAAAGAAAAGTCAACCAAGTCTTATACGAAAAATTTCCATGGTTGTACAGCAAGTTTCAAGACATTCAAGATAGATGGATTACCATTACGAAAAAAACAGCTTGAATTCTTGAAAAAACTGTATTCTTTAAAACAGCTTGAAAAATTTTTAAAATAGTTAGTTTAAAAAACTCGACAAAAAAGCTAACACGTGGATATCAAGATTTGGGTTTTATTTACTGATTCCGCCCAAATTTCCTAAATTTGCGATTTTGTTGTTTTCAAGGTATAAATTCTGAAAACAACATACTGATAGCACTGGTTGATTTATTTAATAAAAATGCTATCACTTTATTCTTTAACCGACTTCTAACGGAGCCCAATTCTGACCAAAAATGAAGGTGGTAATTTTCCCCTGGAGTTGTTTTCTTTGTTTTTTTTCTAATTTGGGTAAGACACGGGAGCGTATTTGAAATAACTTTGTTTAGTTTAGCAAACATTCCTAATTTCAAAACCGATTTGGCTGATTTATAATTCGACTTAAAATTGTTTACAAAACATTTTGAGATGATAATGAAATTTGATTGGCTAATTCTAGCCAATCAGTTTGAAGCAAAATAGTTTCAGTTCGAGATGATGAAATTTTTGTATTTGGGTGGAATACTTAAAAGTACCCCGGGGGTTTTTCAGACATTAATGTAACTGTTTTAATTTCTGTTATATCGTTATATGCACTCTATCATATATGCAGGCCAAAATCAACCTGTTCATAAACAAAGGGGTTTTAGAATAGCTTTTCATTGCGTGTACTAGACAGCTCAAAAATTGATTTTGGATGTTTTATTCGGAGTTTTTCTCATGAAGAAAGCTATACTCATGAAGTGTGTCTGAACGTTTGTACAACTCAAAAAAAATATATATATTTTTCAACTTCAATTTTTTTAACTTCAACTACAAAACCAAAAACAAGCAAAATAGTTCCAGTTCAAGATGATGAAATTTCGAAACTCAAAAATTAGCTAAAAACTTTATTTCACGAAACAACAAAACGAAGCAAACGGTTGTTGACATCTGCTGGAAAACAAGTTGAGTCAAGACATCTTGTTTCGTTTAAATTTCACGCTTATAATCAATTTCACAGTCCTTCTGATAATAGCAAAAAAGAAAAATTGCGGCGTTTGGGGAAATGTTCCTTCAAAATTGGGTAAAGCTTACAAGCAGTCAACACTGAAAAATCGATAAATTAAATCAAATTAAATTTTTTCATGGTTGAACACAAATTTCAAGTATCTTAAGACAGATGCGTCGTATTGGTGGAAAAGAGTAGAGGAAAAAATATTTGAAAACTTTGACATTTATCAAGACAAAAACTTTTTTGGGTTATGAGATTTTTGGGTCTTTTGTGTTATACGGCCCAAAATTGATTTTTTTGTTATTTTGAAAATGGCATCAGAAATCTCGAATCTGATTCGTTGAAATTATTAACAACTTTTAACAGCAAAAGCAAGTCAATTTCTTAATCACGCAGAAGCTCAAAGACGAATTTGGCCAACTTTGGCCGTATAACAGGAAAAAACCCAGAGTTTTTTTCCGAAATTCTTCTCTGTGCTACAAAAAAATCAATTTTAATGAAAGTTTTCAACTTCAAATTATCTCCTATAAACGCCATGATATTCACTCTGTTCAGTTCAAAAAACGAAATCAAGCAGTTAACAAACAAAGCTTTCTAAAAATATTTTTTTTATAAAATCTAAGATTGCAAGGAGCAACTTATAGATAACTTTTGGTTATAACAGTTACTGCCCCGGCTCTGGACAGCTCACAACACATATCAACCCGATGCACAATCTGCTGCTTTTTTATTTGACCAATATGTTTTTATTGCTCTGAAATTATTTATTTTAAGAGTTAATTTTGCAATTTTTTTACAAAATTTTGAGTACTCACTCCGGATTGGTTGACATAAGTCGTCCCTTCGTTTCATACAACGTGAAGAATTCTCTTTTTAGGGGATGATCCTTGATGCGAGTAAGATCAAGTGACCGAAACTTATCTTAGCTGATCTGAATTCAGTTTTCGAAAATCTGAACTAAATGAGCTAGCAAATTTGAACTGTTTAAAATACGTTGATTGGTTGAACATTTTCAGAAAGAAAAAACGCCAGTTTATGGCTTGAATAAGTTTTTCGCTTTCTTTCACCTATGTCCACAAATTCAACGATAGTTTGCTTACGGCGCTCTATTTAGAGAGCAAATAGGTTTTTACAAATAATGCTTCCGGGAAAGCTCGGTAATTCAATCGGAACTAAATTTTAAGCTTCAGGACAAATTTTTCAGCCCACTGCCTTGCGCGTATTAGGCTATTACGCCCCCTGATATTCACTCTGTTCAGTTCAAAAAACGAAATCAAGAAGTTAACAAACAAAGCTTTCTAAAAACGTTTTTAAATAAAATCTAAGATTGCAAGGAGCAACTTATAAATAAATTTCTGTTTTTTTACCTGAGGTTATTTCATAATGTAGGAAATGAATGATGAAAAGCGGAAAAATTTTTTTGCTCAAAATTTATATCAA